CTAGCTTGATAAACCAAAAACTATACACTGTTAAGTTACATGTTTGGTAGATAAAACACATATTGCCAAAGTCGAACTAGCATTCTATAGAATTGAACTAGTTTCTTTTGGCGCGGCACACAAAATAAAACAATACAGAGTTAAATTAGTTTGTTTTGGCGCGATAAACAAAAACAAAATATTATACCGTTAAACTAGTTTGTCTTCGCACGAAAAACCTAAATAAAAATTTTTATTTTTTGTTTGCTGACATAAAATACATATTGCCAATATACCGTTAAATAAAACAATAGACCGTTATATTAGTTTGTTTTGGCGCGGTAAACAAAAACAAAATATTATACCGTTAAATTAGTTTATTTTTGCGCGAAAAACCTAAATAAAGATTTTCATCTTTTGTTTGCTGATATCAATTGCATAAACTTTAATTTTCTTTTTCCCCATTAGCTAGTCATTCATTATGTGAATCATATAAGCTCCATGTAGTTAATTCCCCCAAATTCTCTTTGATAATATAGAAGATTTTTTTTATAGTTTCTTAAACAAGCGCCTTAAAACGGAGCACAAGTTAGGCACGTGACGAATACCCCCACTAGACTTATAAATACCTTCCCTTGTTCTCACTCTTAATCCAGTACAGATTCTTCTGCGGCGCGTGGCGATTTTTTTGAAGTGAAGGCTATGGCTAATCTTCCTCCTTCCCTCTCCTCCAAATCCGCCGCTGCTTTCACCGGAGCTTCTTCCTCCAACGATCAGAACTTGTCGGCGGCGGAACAGTTGGTTCAGGATCTCATCAAACCCGAACTCAGAGAAAATGCTCTTCTCGTGTTGTCTAAGGTCTTTCTTTTTTTTTTTTCCTTTCTCTACGGAATTCGACTTCGCTTCTGTGTGGATTACGAGTTTTTGATCGTTTTCTGCGTTTTAATCGAAGGAAAATTTCGAAGTTCTTCGGGTGTGAATCTCTGGGACATGCTTTAGGATTAGTGACTCTTTTTCTTTTTCTGCTGCAAATTTTTTTGAGAGATTTTTTGTCGGATAATCTTTGGGGACTGCCTGATGATCCGATGATAATGATTATCGAGAGTGATTGAGTCATTTTTTCCCTATCTCTGTTGTGAACACTTTGGTATACGACAATTCTTTACTGAAAAACTTAAAAATCGGTTTTGATGTTCCTGATTTTGAGTTTGATTGTGACTTGAGGATACTTTGGTGTGTATATATGTTCTTCTTCTCACTGAAATTCATGTGTATGATCAGTAATTTAACCTCTGTCTTGTGTTTTTATTTTCTTTCGTTTTTTTCAGAAGAGAGAGATCTTTAATGATTTGGCTCCGCTTTTATGGCATTCTGCTTGTACCATTCCTGTTCTTCTACAGGTACTCTCTCCATGTTCGCTGCTCTAATTTTGGCACTTGTTCCTTTATTCTTCAATGGAAATGATTTATTTCTTTATGGCTTTTCTCTATACTGCTGTGCTGTCTTTTAAAACTTTAACGTTTACGATTTGATGTACACTGTATTGGTTAAGATCTAGTCGTTTTCTATCTTACCTATTTTCAGGAGGTTATCGCAGTTTACCCTGCCTTGTCTCCTCCAACTTTGACTGCTGCTCAATCGAATAGGGTTTGCAATGCGCTTGCGCTTCTTCAGGTGCATAAAATCTTGTCAATTTTATCATTGCTTTTGGAGAATGACATATGTATGTTTTTGTTTGGAAGACTCTAATTTCTATTGATTTAACCCTTTTTTTTTAAATCCAGTGTGTTGCTTCTCATGCTGAAACCAGAGCGTTGTTCCTTAAAGGTACATTCCTATGCCCGCAAACAATTACAAGAAATTTCTGGTTTATGTAGTTGTAGATTTATTGTTTTGCTGGAAGCTTATGTTTCAAGTTGCCAATTCTTCCATAGTTCTCATTAAAATTATTACCGGTGTTTGCTCTGTGACTGATGTAGACGTTTAGATTACATTAGCTGATGACCCAAACTGTCTACCAAAACTAGTTTAAAGAGCCACATTGTTGGTCTATCACATTTATTGGACGTGTGTGCTAATAATATACTTAAAACTTAAAGTCAGTTGCTTTTCTAAATACAGCTCAGATACCATTGTACCTCTATGCTTTCTTGAATACATCAAGCAACTCAAGACCCTTTGAGTACCTGCGGCTGACCAGCTTGGGGGTTATTGGTGCACTTGTCAAGGTATGTCTTGATTATGAGTTTTGTTTCCTCGTCTAGTTATAGAAGCTGTGTTTATGTCAATGAGGCATGAAGTTAAATACCACATCGTTCTGGTAAATATTTAGTTTTCATTTGAGAAACAAACAATTTAGCATGCTAACACCTTTGAGTAAATACTGTTAAGACATCATAGAATCATTTTTTTACTTTTTGATGTTGATGTTGCAACATTGTTCATTTGGTTTGGTAGGTTGATGATACAGAAGTGATCAGATTCCTTCTTCAAACGGAAATTGTCCCATTGTGCCTCAGAACAATGGAAAATGGCACCGAGTTATCAAAGACTGTAAGTTTGTCTATTTTCAGATGCTAATCTTTAGGTTCACATGCTTGAAACATGTATACCAAGTTTTCTATCAGTTATCACAGCCATTTACATATGTCTGAAATCATTGCTTCATACAAATAACTCGTATAAGTATTGTTTCTGCAGTTGGTAATTCTGATTGGTTATTGGGCATACATACACAAATCACCTGATTGATGTTTTTTTTTTTAACCGGTTATGTTAGGTTGCTACGTTCATTGTTCAGAAAGTTTTGCTGGACGACATTGGGCTTGAGTACATGTGCACCACAGCAGAGAGATTCTTTGCTCTGGGTCGGGTTTTGGGAAATATGGTTGCTTCACTTGCAGAAACACCTTCTCCTACTGCTAGGCTGCTAAAGCACATCATACGCTGTTATCTCCGCTTGACAGATAACCCCAGGTCCAACATTTATCCCTTTTACTTCATTTGAAAACAAATTTATACACACTCGTGCTTACACGATACCAATTATTTAACATGCAGGGCTTGCGATGCACTCGGAAGCTGCCTCCCAGATCTTCTGCGGGATCCCAACTTCAGCAGTTGTCTCTATGTAAGTCTTATATCTTTTTGATAGCATCATAACCGGATATTATTGATGCGGATACTAAATTGTTGTCTATCGGTTTTATTGTTATCTTCTCTCAATCATTTTGGTACTTGAGACTTAACTGTTTTAAGCTAAATCTGCTTGCTTACTTTGACAGGATGATCAAGCTGCAAAGAATTGGCTGCAGCAACTGATCCGCAACGTTAGTCTTGGCAGTAGGCTACCTCCTCGAGGAGGTCTTGATCATATGGCTATGCATTAAAAGTGAGGCGAAAACTGTTATTCATTGGACAGCAAAAGTTAGGCGAAATCAGAATTACAGATGAGGGTAAAAACCTCATAACCAGAGATTTTGAGTATGATGGATGGATATATGTAATTGGATTTCTAAACCGCCTTTGCAATTAATAACTAATATTCCATTTAAAAGACCAACATTGAAACCCAAGTTGTAGAAAACCAACAAACGTTTTTTCGAAAGCAAATGTAGATAATATGTCTATAATAGACTGTCAGATCTTGCAGGTAGCCTCCTGAAGAGATTGAGCGGCACAGATGGGAGCTTGTGTCTGAATCTTGGATGCCTCAGCACATAGATCCCAGCAAGAAGTGCCACAACCTGAAACGGCGTAACGTACAACACAATAGCAGCTATAAGACAGAAGAACACAAACAATGTGGTTGCCCTCGGGTCTCTCCAGCTCAGCAGCGATAAAAACCGTTCTCCCTGTGTTGCAAGATCGCCTATCACGGTCTGAACCCGTCCTGCTATGCTCCTGAGCCTGTCATACCTCATTCGCACAATCTCAGAGGACCGGGAAGTCGGGAAAGTATCAAACTCTTCATCGAGCTCGTCAGGGTGGACAGCGTCTGCGTGGGACAACCGTGTGTCCATGTGTGGTGGATGCCTTGGTCTCCACCGGAAATTCCATATCCCGATCAAGAAAAGGTACAAGAAAACCGTTGGGAGGATGAGTTCCGGGTAGAGAACTAAGATTATGAAAAGGACATGAATGAGGATTGTAGTAATTGGGTTTCTCCAGTTGCAGATCTGATCAAACCATTTGCCCACAGCAATGAGACCACTCAGAACACTCATGATTCTGAAGAAGTTAGCTTTACTCCTCCTCATGCTCCACATGTGGGAGTCAACATCGAGCATGTATTCTACAATCTCTTTGCGAAGAGGCGGCTCTGCTCGGTTCAGCCTCGCCGAGACAATGTTCATCGCCTGGTGCCTCAAGCTATCCAGTTGAAGAACCGATAACGGGTGAATGTAATGCATTTTGGGTAGTAATGGCTGGGAATACATATGAAGCATGTTGATGAGAGATAGGCAAGTGAACCGCACAGCTAACTGTATTTCGCCTGTTTTCTTGACCCCGGAAGGATGAAAGACGAGCAGCGGATATGAATGTGTGTAGATACGGTCAGCTTCAAGGGTCGAGAGACGGATTCTCACTTTCCCGATTCTCGTATCTTTTCCACTTCCTCCTGGAATGTGTCCATTGTCGAATGCTCCAAAAGTTATGACAGTGCAGGTATCAAACACTTCCCATGTGTACTGCTCGTTCCATTTAGGCGTAAAACTATCGACGATTGTCCTTGTTCTTATCCATTTCTGACCGTATTTAGCCACACAATACGCATCTGTTGTTCCCTTCCCGTCTTTTGTCTTCATTGGCATCAGTCCGTGAGCGCTTATGACCCCTACTTCAAGCACTCCAATGCTCGGTTTCCATAGCTGTTTTGCGGTTGGCCTTAGGTCGCTGCTGTAGTGAGTTGATTCATCAAGAACATGGTATCCGCCTTCAAGAAAGATTCTTAGATGAATCCTACTCGCGAATTTCACCTCTTTTCTCTCTCCCTCAACTATAATATGTTTCTCCAGGTTGTACCACCTCGAGTTAAGCGGCCTATGGTCTAACCTCCTCTGTACATTCTGCAACGGGATGGCACACCGGCCTAGCGTTTCATCTTTGTTCGGTGCAACCCTATCTTCAACCGCGAGAATCAACGCCTCCTCAAAAGGCTCAGCAACAACAAACATAAGATCTTCATTCCACATCGGATTCAATGTCTTGGTCTGAGAAATCCGCGTTCTTAGAGTCTGGTTTCCGAGCATTGCTTTGACGTAAACCTCAGGGAACTTGGTTTTATCATGAGGTATCAAATCTTGAGCCTCGATCACATTGACTCTTACATACCAAAGCTTTGGCGAAAGATAAACCTTTGATCTAATATTCCCCACACCCTCGGGTCCAACCGAGGCTGCATCTGAGTGCCAAGCATCAGAAAACGCTTCATCGGCTTGTGTCCCCATCCAAACAGCTAACATAAGCTCTCCTTTAGCCTTACGCCCGTGTCGATCCTCCAACCTATACCACTGAGGAGCCAGTGGACTATCAGGTGGAACTCGCTTAGGAATCTCATTAAGATCAAACATGATTCTACCAATCAAATCATCCAACACAACATCTTTGTCTTTCACTACAACCTCCAAGATTGATGCTTGGATCCTCTCCTTTGAAAAAGCAAAGACTTGCTTCCACTCTGGATTCGACTTCTTCTCGAAATGCTTAGTCATTCCTTTGTAGTTTCCAAGCCTTACTTCCACGTAAGGATCGCAACTACCGGTCAAATCTTTCCCCGGTAACTCCTTCGCCTTCACGACCCGAACGTAGAGGTAATGCATCTGCTCAACCAAATCATAAGTGCAGGAGAGTTTATCACCTGTCACAGCTCCTGCACCAATCTTTGGTGAAGTCTCCTTCAGTGCAAACTCTATATTTGGACCAGGTTTCTGCATCTTGTCTGAATCTTCAAACTCTTGTGTGTTTTGAGATCCAAAAAACTTGTAGTAAGAAGCAGTTTCAGGGGAAGCTGCTTGGTTCTGTTATCTTAAGACAACCTTCTGGTAAAAAAAAACATAACAGAACAAGAATGGATTAGAGAGATTTTAACAGTTAACACACATATGGATACAACATATTAGTAACATAAACATCTCTCGAATCAAATTAATGAGCAAGGAGTTTAAGATCTACACTCTTCTGAGAATAAATATAACCAATGTGAAAAATGTTAATGGAGAAAATTAAAAAAAGGCAAATAGTATTATACTTTTGTTTATTTAAAATTTTATTTGGCATTCTTGTTGAAGTTTTCTCACCAAACAAGCAGCAACCAAAACCAAAACTGTTGACAAACAATTGTAAATTAATTTTATTTGGCATTCTCTTTCTTCAGTGACTTTTTCCTAGCTTTCTCCTAATCTGATCCAAACAAAGCTATTAGCAAAACAAAAAAAGAAACCCATTACTTTAAGAAAAGAAAGAAGAGTAAGCATGAAAGATCTATCTTAACCCAAAACAAAGAATTAATCTTTTGAGAGACAACTAAACCCCACAAGAAATGTTTTTGTTATAATGTCTTTTACTCTTTCACTATCGCTGTTACTTGAGCAACTGACCAAAACAACACTACAACTACACATAATATAATAAGTACAAATAAAAGAAAACCATTAATTTAATTTGGAACTAATTGAGTCATGGTAAAATGTACCTCAAGGGGGATTTAATGAAGAATAACTTGGAAACGCATTATTTTTGGTAAAGCTTAGAAGAAAACAAAGATGTTGAAAATGAGATTAAGAAGCAGAGTGAGTGAGTGAGCTTTTTAGATAGGTGAATGAAGAAGAGAGTGTACAGTAGAAATAGAATATTTGGGGACATGTGGATGCTAAGATCTGCTGCTTTTTAGTGGACCTACACTTTTGACCTATTCTTTTTATTTTGTTAATTTCTTTTCTTAATTTTCTATATGCCACTTCCAAATTTTACTCTCTCCATGTAATTTTTAATTAGTTTATTTCCTAGTATTACATTTAATGTTTGAGTGTGTCAATTGAATGATATCAATGTTTGTTTCCTTGTCTACTGCTTGTTGAAAAGAGCAAATATGCTTTCTGTCTACAAATATTATACATTGTTTTCAACATTTTATTTCTATCTTGTTCAGAAGGAACATGACTAAATGATGAATAAATCATTCGTACAAAATATAGAAACCTTGTTTATATTTATTGTAATTGCAACATACATTTTGTAGATCAAATAGAAATACACAAACAAACCCACCTAAAGAGGCTAAACATCTAAACACAACCCAACCCTTAGAGCTATCTTCTTAAGAACTTTTTCTTATTTTCTTCAAATGTACTAAAGAAGTTTTTAAGTGTTAATTTTTCTTCAAGTTTGTACATTGAAGTACACATTGTATGTTTCATCTCTTAAGCTAAACAATGGCGATAACACAAAGTTCCTCTCTGTTCCGCTCATCACGAAACTCATAGGATTGTATTGACTTATTCCTGTCCTTAACCTAAAGCTTGCTGCCTGTTTAAACTTCTCATCACTCGCATCTGAATCACATTCAAGCTTCAGTTTCATTCCTGGTTTCGGGGTTTGATCGCTGTACACAAAACAACCCTTTTTGCTCTCTAGTCTTAACGACACACTTCCTGGCTTCCCGTTGACTCCAGGTACTAACCGAAAGCTAGAAGCTTCTTTGTCTGTAGAAGATGAATCTTGAACCGCAAAGGAGTTGTCAGTTCCTTGCATCACAAGCATGCCAGGGAAATCAAACGGTTCCACCATGACCTGGCTTCCAATGAGCTCCTCTGGACCCGAAATCCGGACTTTCAAAGCATCAGTCACGAGCCTAAAAGTCGCCCCAACAGCTTCTTGTGTCCCTGGTCCAGGCGATACTTCCATAGTGATGGTTCGGTTTCTGTTTGACAACACGTAGGATACGTTTCCAGATTGTTGTGAGAGTGTGACAAGGTGGCTGTTATGAGTTTCAGGTATAGGGTTTATCCATTTTCCAGCTTTAGCCTGAGTTGTGATGCTCCATTCCCTGCTCGTATGTCCGGCTAACAAGTAGGGGCCATAGAGTATAGCCTGAAGAGATGAGTACTCCGGTCGATCATCTGAAATACTCACAAAAAAAAGGGAAATAAACTCAAATCAGTTTCTGTTGTTATTGCTTTGTCAAAACAGAGTTTTTATAGTGACATAAGAAGATTCAGAACAGTGTCTATACCTTTTATAGCTTCGGTTCTGATACTCAACGGTAGCTCCATCGTTACTTGATCGCCGGATTTCCAGCTCCGTTTGAGTGATAGGAAATTACCTACAAAGAAAAAGGCAGGTCCAGTGTGATTCTCATATGTCAAAACAGATTCTGCTTTTAGAATCTAAAATCCTTTTTTTTTATATTCTGGTTACAGTACAAAATGCACAAATCACCTGAAGCTGGTACTTTGAGGGGTTGTCCATTCAAAGATACTTTGGCACCTTCAGAGTTTGTCCAAACTGGAATTCTTAGATTCAAAGTGGCCATTCCCTGCAAGAAAGTTGGATCCATTAAAATCTCTATCCACTTGAATGGGTTGCATCTGGTTTCTGCCAAAGTTTACCTCTTTGGAAGAAGAGAAAGTGAATGTCACACGCATGAACGGATCCCACGGCACAACAGGCTTGACTTTCTGAGATAGCGAAAGACCAGCAGACTTCCAATCAAGCGAGCTTGATATATATTGGGTGACATAAAGAGCTGGAGATTCCCCATCTTCTTGAAAATAAATAGAATCTCCCAGCTTTGAGAAGGATTCAATCCCTGTGGACAGATACAAAACACACAAAAAAACTCTCAAAATATATCTGATTTTTGTATGTTTAACACAAAGTATGATTGAGGTTAAACATTACCAGTGCCATAGCAACACCAGAAGGCATTATAAGGTGTTCCCCAACCATGATAAGTCACAGCCTTAGAAACACCTCTACCTAATGGGAGCATGTAGATCATCAGTCCAGGCTGGGTTCCTCTTTGAATTCCGAGCACACCGTTTGTCAAAGCCCGCTCGTAGTAGTCTGCATAGCTAACTTCTTTTGTCCACCTGAATAGATTCCTAGAGACCTGAAAGTGTTGAAGTTTTGATAATGCTACCTTGGGCAAGTAAAAGGAGGAAGACTATAATTTAAAATCCTACCTTGAGCATGTTATAAGTAGTACATGATTCCTCATTTTCGGTTTGCAGCGTAGTCGCCATTCTCTTTGGATCTTGCCTGATGTTAACATTTCCAAGTATGTGATTAAGAGGTAAAACATGTTAAATGAACCAAACTCTAAAGTCAGGTAGTGTTAGTACCAGAACTCACTGACTGATGTTCCTCCAGTTGCATAGCTGTGAGAAGCATTGACGATATCCATAAAAAACTTCGAGATTTCCTGAAAAATGCAGAATTCAGAATCAAGAGAACCAATTTTTTCTTTAATAAATCTCACACTTTAGAGGGTTATGCTCCAATACCTTATGGAGTGGATCCCCAGTGATCTCATACCGGAGTTGAGATCCAACAACAATGGGAATATGCGTGTTAGAGTGGAAGCCGCTTATATCATCAGCCTGAAAGAGAGCATGCAATATTCTGATATCTTACCATTCAAATCTATTCAAGCTAATCATCAAGTAAACTACCTGAATCGCGAGCACCCCTAGAAAGCAAGGCTTGTCAAAGAGATGCGCGAGCAACAAATACTTGGAATCACCCTGCAAAGTCCAATAACTATGATATGAAGCAAAGCTAGATAGAAATCTAAAGAGCATTTTTTGGAGAATCTGATAATATTTGAACCCACAGTGATGCTGAATAGCTGATAAAGAACATCATTCATGCCACCAGTCTCTTCGTTTAGTGATTGCCAGTGTCGTTCAACGCTGTACTTCCTTATCACATTACGAACACGGCCATAGAAGTAATCAGCCATCCAGCTTGCCATTTTCAGAGCTTGATTGTTCCCAGCCAACTTGTATTGATCTACTAGACCGGCTAAAATCTGTCGAAATTAAGAAAAAGTTGAACTCTTTTTGCAAAACACAAGCATCTTTATCTACATTATATATGACTCAAACGAGTATCACCTTGTGAATGGTGTAGTAAGGAGCCCAGACAGGAGTTACAGCTTCGAACCGGTCGAAAAAACTGCTAGGAAAAGCAGAGAGATATCCTGTGCCAAGTTTCTGTTGGCAATCCGATAGAGCTGAGACGAGAGCTGACATTTTTGCCTTGAGAGTATCATTATGAGTACTTGCCCACATGTAAGCTGTTGCACTCAGATAGTGACCTTCAACACAAACATTCAGATTTTATGAGCCATTATAGTTGAAGCCTTAAAGGTCAATCCTTTAAGAATCTATGCAAAGTAAAGGTAATTCCTTTAAGAGTCTATGCAATCTAAAAGGTAAAATCCTTCAAGGGTCTAAGCAATCTATTTCAAACATCAAATCTCAATCCTTTTCTTACATACTATAAAAACATGGATCAAGAAACTGTAATGAATTGGGGAAAAGAGGCAGCTTTATACCGACGAAATGGCCACGGAGTTCACTATCTGGTCGCTCCCATCCTCCATAGTAATTTCCTGGAGCATCAAGACCAGCTGCTTTACGGAAGCTCCATGTCAAACCATCAACATCCAACATCAATAGATACTCAAGGTTTGTCTGCTGAGCCCTCCAATGGAAGGAGCTTGGATCCAACCTAACATCATGCAAAGAAACATCCTTGAGAAAGTTACCAGAGTCGTTGTTGGAGTTCTTGATGTTCCTATACATGATAGTCCAACCATATTCATCTTCCTCTTGTCTCAACATCTTCCTTGGCAACAAACTAGACCAAGCAGAGTCATCAGTTGGTGTTAAGTGGTAATGAGAGAACATCTCTGTCTTCAAAGTTTCGTTCTTCGATTGAAGAAGGTCGTAACGGAAAGTATGAGAAGAGAGCTGCGTAGGAGTGTTTGTACACTCTTTTGCATCTGTTACAACAAGAACAAAGCTTATACACAATAATAACAGAGCAATGGTACAAGATTTCATCATCTTGTCTTAACAAGAAACAAAAACTCAAGATTCTTGTAATAATGATTCAAATCCAAAAACCCAAAACCCCCAAAGCTCAGATTTCCAACAAGAGAATGAAAGAGACTCAAAGAACCATTAAACAGTTAATGAGAGAGTTCGTTGTAATGAGAAGCAGATATTTATAAAGCAAAAGAGAGTCCTGGAGATTTAAGCAATGTCTATCACAAAAAGAAAAAAAAGAAAGAAAATGTGTATGTAATCAATCACGTG